CAGAAGAAACATCTAGTGATGACGAATAAAAATAGAAATAAAACTAGTTTCGAAAAAATTATAAAGTTTGAGGACTTAATTTGAAATAAAAAAACATTTCATTAAAGGCAAAATTGACTTTTACACAAAAAATGCAAATGGGTCATTTGACCCGGCTATTTTGGAAAATCCCCCCAAAAAAACACTGTATGATCCATATCTTCCGCTTCCTATCCTCCATTATTGGGCCAAAAAAGGAACTCCAAAATATTCCAAAAATCAAAAAGAAAAATTGGACAAATAAATCGAGATGAAGAAATGTCTAGAAAGAGTACTTTGGTAAGAGAGCCATTGGGTCGACTTGTATCGACCAATGATAACTCATGCCCCGTGAAGTGAAGGCTCAGGGAACTCTGGAGGGGTTAATTTAATCAATCATCACGCAATTTTGTTATATATTACCATTTGCTCATCGAAATTCAAAAAGTTACTCTTTACTCATTGAAATTTGCTATATGTTACTTCTTGTTCATCAAAATTTAAAAAGTCACTCGTAAGTTGTAACTCACCCAAATTTGAATAAAATTACTCACTAATTACCTGTATCATTTCCATAATTGTTAATTATAGCAAAGTTTAGTGAACAATGAGTAATTTTGTTCGAATTTAGGTGAGCAACGAGTAAACTTTTAAATGTCAGTAAGTAAGCAGTAATATATAGCAAAATTCAGTGAGCAATGAGTAACTTTTTAAAGATTGATGAGAAAATAGTAACAATTGCAAAATTCATTGGCCCGTTGATTAAATTAACTCAACTCTGGAGCGTAGTTATCACTGTGTTACTTTTAGGGTGATATAGGGTGAGATGAAAAATGTTGGAGCCCATTTCTGCAGAATAATTTTTGTAAAAAAATATTTTTTAAAATAATAAAGAATTTTTTTTAAAATTTACGTACAAAATTATTTTATACGAAGAATGAATAGTTAAAAATGAATTTTAATTTAGAAGTTCTAAATAGTAAATATTCATTTTCAGTGTAAATGGATCCCAATGATAAAAAATCATCATTTGTTTTTTGTATAGATGAGAATGTTTGTGAAACCACTACACTTTAGGTGGAGATAAAATTCCATTTATATAGAGGTTACATACGTGTATAGCTATACAATACATAGGGAAAACAGTCCACAATCAAGGAGTAATTGCTACAGTTAAGGGGGGTTTACATGGATCTACTACAGTCCAGGAAAGGATTGCAGGGATTGCTTAGAATTAGGAGAGGATTCTGGAAAATCTTCAACACCCCCCCCCCCGGCCCCCGGCAAGCTAAGCGTGGGATGAGAGCACACATGTAGCTTGGATCGAAATAGGATGAAGAGTGGCCTCGAGACACTTTTTGTGAAGACATTAGCAACCTGAAGCGGAGAAGGGACATGTTGAGTGCGAATACGACCGGCAACCACGAGTTCTCGAAGAAAGTGATAGTCTAGAGCAATGTACTTGGAGTGATTGTGGGATACCGAATTAGAACTCGAGAAGACAGCACTCTTGTTGTCACAAAGAAGAAGAGGACAATGTGTAGTAGAGACGCACAGATCATGAAGGAGATGCTCTAACCATAAAACCTCGGCAGCGGTAGAAGCAAGAGCACGATACTCGGATTCACAACTGGAGCGAGATACCGTAGGCTGCTTCTTAGAACTCCAAGAGACAAGATTATCACCGAGGTAGATAGAGTAGCCTGAAATAGATTGTTTGGTATCAGGGCAACCAGCCCAGTCAGCATCAGAGTGGCGGTAATGTTGGCAGAAGAAGAGGCAGTGAACATTAAGCCAAAATGAAGAGTACCTTTGACATATCGAAGAATGCGCTTCATAGCTTGGAAATGGTCATCGGTGGGAGCATACAGATATTAACTGACCGAGTTGACTGAGTAAGTAAGGTCCGGACTAGTGATGGTCAGATATTTCAAGGCACCAACAAGAGAGCGGAAAAGTGTTACATCCGCAAATGGAGGACCATCGGAGGAAAGGCGCTGTGCAACAACCATAGGAGTAGTCACGGGTTTGTAGTCAAGAAGCTGAGCCCTAGTAAGAATGTCACGTGCATACTTGGTCTAGCTAAGAAAGAGTCTAGTAGAGGTAGAGGCAACCTCAAGGCCAAGGAAATAGTTGAGCGAACCTAAATCCTTGGTAGCAAATTCAGAATGAAGTTGCCTAATGAAACTACTCAGAAGAGATGCATTGTTGCCGGTGAGAATGATGTCATCAACATACAATAGGAGATAAATGGTGTGCTGCTGGCGATGTAGAACAAACAGAGATGGATCAGCATTAGTACAAGTAAAACCAAGCTGTAAAAGAAAGGAACTAAACTGTTGGAAACAAGCACGTGGGGCCTGTTTGAGGCCATAAAGAGCTTTCTTGAGTTTGCAGACATGATGAGGGAAGCGGGGATCAACATAACCAGGAGGTTGCTCTATGTAAACATGTTCTTGCAAATTACCATTGAGAAAGGCATTTTTAACATCAAGTTGGCAGAGGGGCCAACCATGGGTAACAGCCAGAGAGAGCACGATACGAACAGTGGATGCCTTGATCACTGGACTAAAGGTGTCGGTGTAATCAAGACCAGGAAGTTTAGTATATCCCTTAGCAACAAGACGGGCCTTAAGACGATCAATGGATCCGTCGAACAAATACTTTGTGCGAAAGACCCATTTGGAACCCACAATGTTCATGTTAGTAGACCGGGGAACAAGATCCCAAGTGTGGTTATCGCGCAGAGATTTTATTTTGTCATCCATAGCAGCAAGCCATTCAGGATTTTTAGCAGCCGACTTGAAACCTCGTGGCTTAGAGGAAGTGAGCAGCGCAGATAAAAGACTAGAGACATGGTGGCTGAGATAAGTTGAATGTCGCTGTCGAAAAATGCCTGCTTTAGCACGCGTGACCATAGGGTGAGAGGGTGGAGCTGTAGAATGAGCATTAGGATCTGGAGCATTAGAATGTGGTTGAGCCAATGATAGAGGATCATGGTCTTCAGCTGGAGTAGAGATGCGTTGACCTGAAGGCATCATGGCAGTAATGCGTTCAACAGAAACCTGCATAGGCTTAGAGAAAGAATTAGGGCAGAAACGACATGCATGAGACCCAGATCAGAACAAGGATCAGACTATGTAGTTGGGGGCAGTGGAGCATTAGGCAATGGTAAGTCATGGGTTTGTATGGGTTTAGTAAAATGGGAAAAGTCTAAGGATGCTGGGGGGTGGGCCTTGGAGGTGGGTATTAAGGGAAAATTTTGTTCATCAAATTTGGCATGGTGTGTGGCATAGATTTTAGAGTGAGAGGATCTAGACAGCGAAACCCTTTGTAGGAAAGACTGTAGCCTAAAAACAAACAAGGGATGCTGCGTGGGGAAAACTTGTTAGAAGTATAGTCACGTAAATAGAGATAAACTCTACAGCCAAAGGGATGAAAGTTAGTATAGAGAAGAGCTTTATTGTGTAAAATTTCAAAGGGAGAAATACCTCCAAGAAGTGGGGCAGGCAGCCGGTTAATGATATACGTCGCAGTACTAAAGGCGTCAACCCAATAACAAGTGGGTACACGTGAATGAAATAAAAGCGCAAGGCCCATTTCAGTCAGGTGGCGATGCTTGCGTTCAGCTCGTCCATTTTGGGAGGGAGTGTAGGGACAAGATATTTGGTGATGAATGCCTCAGGAACGAAGTTGAGATTGAAAACGATTGCTACAAAATTCAGCGCCACCATCACTCTGGAAAATTTTAATCTTGCACCACAAAAGATTGAAATTGAAGAAATATATCATAAAAATCATATTTGAATTTCATAGGGTAGGGTAAATCGAGAGTGGTCATCGACGAAAATAACATAATAAGTAAAGCCAATTTTTGATTTTACCGGAGCCGGTCCCCATATATCACAATGAACAAGGCCCAAAATGGAGGTGGATCGGGCACTATTAGTGGAAAAAGGAAGCTTATGACTCTTAGCAAGTTGACAAGTAGAACAAACAGAAGGATTAGGCAAAAGAGAAGTAAGAGATAATTGTCCTTTTTTTATTCAATAACGAAATAATAGAGTGGTTTACATGTCCAAGACGTGCATGCCATAGGTCATACGACGCCGTAAGAACAGATTTATTTAGGACAGAAATAAAAGCAGCATTGCCACACTCTAGTACATAAAGACCTCTATCACGTCTTCCGGTTGCCACCACCTTTCTTGTGATTTTGTTTTGAATAAGAAAGGAAGAGTCAGTGAAGATAACTTGAAGAGGAAAATCAGAGGTTAATTTACTGATAGATAAGAGATTTTTGGTGAGATGGAGAACTAGTAAAACATCAAGTAAGTGTAAATTGGGGGAGGGATTGGAGGTACCCGTGTGGGTGATGGGTAAGGAAGCCCCATCGCCCACAACAACTTTGTCCTTACCAACATATTGTTCAGAGATGTCAAGTGCAGTCGAATCAGGTGTCATATGGGCAGAGACACCAGTGTCAAGGTACCAATCTGAGCCAGAAGGGCCATCAGAGAGAGAACAACCACTCTGGAGTGCTTCAACAAGGTGTGCCGATGTCTCCGAATGGACATAACGATTCCTGTAGCGATCAGCAGTGTGACCCACTTCTTTGCAAATCAGGCAGCGAGGATTATAGGGACGATGAGATCGATTATTCTTAGAAGACTGACCACCCGAAATGCCAGAAGAAAAACCACCAGCATTGCCATTAGAGTTGCCCCTTGAGCGACGATTTCCAGTGAAACGAGATTGACTGGCACGACCAAAGAAGCGATGTGCCATGAAAGCTGCTGAAGACAAGGTGTGAGATTCAAGAGATTTTTGAAACAGATCATAGTTTTCGGCCAAGGGAACCAAATCATGAAAAGAGGACAGAGGCGTGAGAGCCATCTAAGTTGAAGAAAAGCTAGCGAATTCAGTGCCAAGGCCACGGAGAAACCAATGGGTCTTGTCAACTTCGTCCGATGGCCATTAATTGATCACAGAGGCCTTTAAAAGCACGGGCAAACTCAGCAACAGAGCGATTCCCTTTCTTCATAAGTTGAAGTTCGTCCTTCAGACGAATCTCTTGAGATTTTGATACATGGCTGAATGCACGTTCAAGAGCAACCCATACATCTTGAGAGGTTGTAAGACCCACAGCTGCTGCCATGGCTTCTTCAGAGAGAGAAGACAAGAGCAAACTTAGGGTCCGCTGATCTTTGAGTTTCCATTCAAGGAATTTGGGGTTGGGAGAGGAAGAGTTTTCGATGGGGTTGGTTACAGTTTCGGCTGGCTTGGTGAGAGAGCCATCAACGAGACCAAGATAACCTTGGCAGTATAGGAGAGGGAGAAGTTGGCTCTTCCAGAGCAAATAATTGTTGGCAGAAAGCTTGATGGTGACCATGTGAACCATGGTATTGAAGGAGAAAGGTTCTGCCATGGAAAAAAAAAAAAAAAGTAAATCAGAGATTAATCTAGTAGGGCTCTGATACCATGAGAATGTTTGTGAAACCACCACACTTTAGGTGGAGATAGAATTCCATTTATATAGAGGTTACATACGCGTATAGCTGTACAATACATAGGGAAAACAGTCTACAATCAAGGAGTAATTGCTACAGTCAAGAGAGGGATTACATGGATCTGGTACAGTCCAGGAAAGGATTGCAGGGATTGTTGAGAATTAGGAGAGGATTCTGGAGAATCCTCAACAATAGAAGTATCCTGTGTTCGCTCATTTTATAACATTTAGGTTTACCAAAGCTAAATAGAAAGGACAATCACCATGTTAACAAATGATGCTCGACTTGTAATTATAAGTTTATGTTTTACGGTTTAAGGATAGAATAATGAATTTACTTCTCTATCCATTTTTTAGAAGTTCTAAATAGTAAATATACATTTTCAGTGTAAGTGAATCCCGATAATAAAAAATCATCATTTTTTTTTTTTTTTTGTATTGAAGTGTCATGTGATCGCTCATTTTATAACA